AGAGAGAGAGAGAGAGAGAGAGAGAGAGAGAGGAAGAAAATGGCAATAAATAGAAAAAGGAAAACCGGAGGGGGGACAGCTAGTTTGGGAGACAAAATGGGGTACATCAGATCCCCCTTTCTTCTTCATATTCCTCTCCTCCTCTACCTTCCTCTTTCTTCTTCTTTTGATGGATGGGGTGTGGTGGGTGGGGGAATGGGAGTGTGAGACTGAGGCCAAAGACGTAGCTAAAGCAGGGTGGAAAGGAGTGAGTTTTAGGCCACCAGCAGCAATTGGGGAGGATGACTCTCTGAGGTCCCTCTGCAGCATCTCGGATCTGCTCGACTCCCACCAAGAGTTGGAACTTTGCAGATTCCAGGAAAGACTCAACACAGAGCACGCCCCGGCCTTGGAGAGGTTACCCACCCTGTTGCCACCACCTTGCCCCGAGTAGTGACCTTGGGTCTTCTCTTATCCTTTAGGCCACTAGGCCTAGGAGGGTCTGAGCACCCTTGGACTCTGCATCAAAGGTTTAGGAACTCGGCGTTTACTTCGCTCGGGACTGTGGGCTTTCCAGAGTGAACGCTCGGCTGCGGAAGCCCGGGCGCTGTGCAGTGCCCTGGAGCGCCACCTCGCTTCGGAAACTGGAATCACGCGGCCAAGCCTTTCACTCTCCGGCAGCCTAACTTGATTTTCACCCGTTCTTTTTTTTTTTCCTTTATTAACATCTCTAAAGCAGCCGCAACGCTTAGGCCTCCTTCCCCACTGCCGCCCCCCACCCCAATCATCTGTGACCCACATAGCTCAAAGTAACTGCACAATGGAAGAAAAACACAGAAGCATAATTTCACTAAACAAGGGTAGTCACCTAAGCTGTAAAGCTGCTTTCAGAGAAAAGATAAAATGAATGAGACATGTTGTCAGGAGGCCACCAGTTCGGGCTGCGGTGTGTTTAGAGTTGTTCAGCTGTGGCCAATGCAAATGTCTCCCATGAAGCGGGTGCCTATGAAGTTATAAACTCCCAATTATGATTTCCCCAGAAATCCATTCATTCTGACCCGTGGGGTATCAGAGAGGCTTTGCCAGGCCAGTGACTGCCCCATTGGAGCCTGGTTCCTCTCCATTTTCCGCCTTACAAAAAAAAAAAAAAAAAAAAAAAAAGTCACCAAATGCAGTCCTCAGCATCCCCACCTTTCAACCAACGAAGTAGCAACTGCCAGAAATTATGAATCACACAACATTCTTTTCTTCCAACGTGCAACTGGCTGTTTGTCTCCTTTTCAACCAACTGGTCATTTGGGGTGTTTATCCACCCTTAAATATATCCACTGGGCTAGACTATAAAATATATAGAAAATCAACTCACTGATATGCTATGGTGAGTCTTTGTTTCGTTTTCTTTTCATCCCAGAGCCAAGTGTGATAAGAAACAATGTACTTTTCCACTTTGAACATAGTTTTGAATGTGGAGAGTCTTGCTTATGGCCCAGTGAAGAGCTGTGTGGTTCATTTGTTTTGAAAAGGACATGGAACTTCCACCTAACATAGTTTTTACTTATTGGTTCAACCCCTCTCTAAGTTTCTCTCTCTCTCTCTCTCTCTCTCTCTCTCTCTCTCTCTCTCTCTCTCTCTCTCTCTCTCTGAATGTGTGTGTGTTTAGAGTGTTCAACAGATTAGATGGGTAAAATAATGACTATTCTGGGGACAGTGGGTGGAGGAAGAGTATGAAGAAGGAGGAGGTGCTGACATCTAAGCCCCTGTATTTTTTTTCTCTGAGCAAATCAAACTTAGAGAGCCTCTTATGAAACTTTGCACTTCTAGGAGTTGATAGGGTGGTCCCTGGGCAGCCAGGCAGGAGATGGAGTGAGGGAGTGCTCTGCCTCCCTGCTCCACATGGCAGATTAGAAGGCTCTCAGGGCTCCTGCTCAGAAATTATAGGGCTGCGCCAGGAAAATAGCCAGTTTAGTTTTCTGGCCGGCTTGTCCCTTTTCCAAGAGGTTAAAACAGGTTCCTGAGAGACCATACTAGAGAGGGGTCTCAGATTCCTAGCAAGACTTAAGGAGCATCCCTCAAGGGCAAGGGGCCAGCTGCAGAGGGGTGGCCATGTTCTTGGGAGTTCCAGGCTTTGAGGTGAGAATGCTAACTTGTGGGGAAGATGGCTGCTGACAGATTCTGGGAGCTATGTGGCAATTCCAGAGAGGGCCCTAGCATCCCCTGAGGGGTGGCAATGAGGAGCAAAGACACAACCAGAAGGAAGTCACGGAGAAGAAGGCACTCCAATTTGGAGGGGGTTCTAAATTGGAAACTTTCACTTTTCTCTCCTGTCCTCTCCATTTCTTTCTCTTCCATCCCCCCTTCATATTTTCTGAGACACCACACACACACACATACACACACACACACACACACACACACACACACACACACACACAGAGAGAGAGAGAGAGAGAGAGAGAGAGAGAGAGAGAGGGGGGGTGCACATAAAGCCTGAGGATGAAAAAATTATTTTCTTGCTATTACCCTTCTTACCGCAAGATGCGGTACAAGAGTTAGTGTTACAACTAGGCCACAATGTCTCACCAACGACGCAAAACATGCAGCCAGAGGGTGTTGCTAATGACTCCTGGATTAGAGTGAGCCTGCGACTGGGAGGAGGTGAGGGGCGGGGGGGTGGGGAGAGAGAACTACACAGGAAAGGGACATTTTTCATTAAAGAACTGGGTGGGGGCGAATCAGGTCTAATAATCTCATCAGTATTGCAGATTTCAAGGTTCTCTCTGTTTAAACGTGTGAGCTAGAGAGAATACAGTATCCTTTTAAGCACCACTTTTTTGCCATATTAATAACAGTTATGTTTACAGTTACGTGAAGAGCTCTCCTTTGGGAAGGATCAAACATTAGAAATCGCTTAATACTAGATTCAAGGCTACTCCAATACTCGGGCCTTTTGAAGGCTGTGGGGGCCTGGTCATCGTTAACCCAGGGGTCTATGCAACGCAGGGCGGCCAAGGAAACTCAAGGCTCGCTCCCCTACCAGGGCACACAAATGAACAAACGGTTGTGATGAAGTGGTGGGAACCAGGATGACCCATCCAGGCTATGGAGCAGCCCGCAGGTGCAGCAGCCAGCGGTTGCCTGCTTAGCCTGCGCTAGATCTTGGCGAAATGTCCCACCGGCCTCAGAAATCCCCTATGCCCTCCCTTGGGGCCAGCTATTTAGGGGTGCATGAGATTTCGAGGTTCCTACCGTGGCCCAGGCTGGTCCCACCGCCCTGCAGTCTGCTTCTGCACCCCGGGACACACGAGGAGGGCATCCCCTGGGCTGCGGCCCTTTGAACCAGGGAGCCCTTGGCTCCCGGACGGAGGCGCGGAGCTCGCCGGAGGCCCGGCAGCGGAGCGGAGTGTGGGTGGCGGGTGGGGTTGAAGGGGAGTGGGGGAGGCGGGAGGGGACAGAGGGGCGGAGGCAGGAGCGGGGCGTTAAGCCTGGAAGCTTGGCTGTTTACCCAAATGATTTTCTTTTCAGGCCGGAGACGCCAATGAGACAAGATCAAACTGCCCTCCAAGCAGTGCGTGTGGGGCGGTGGGAGTGTGTGTGTGTGTCCCCTTTGCAAGAGGGGCTTTGTGAATGGGGGCTCCAGCACTCTGGCTTGGAGGAATGAGAGGCGACCCGGGCACCAGCGCCTCCTCCCGGGAGCTGGGAAAAGCCTGGTGTGTAGCATGCCTCATTGCAGGGAAGGGCAGCCTAGGCGCGCGGTAGGTAGTCCAAAGAGACTGAGCAAAGAGAACTACAGCCGGCACGCTCTAGAGAGCTAAGGCCTAAGGCCGAAGTCCTTAAAGATCTGTACAGGAGACTCGTGGTCATGTGAGAGTATAGGGCATAATACAAATCCCATCCTTCTTCCAACCCGTTGATTTTCGATCCATCTAAAGCCTACAGCCAGCTCCGTGGGCCACTGGTTTCTTCCTGACTGTCTCCAGATCTATTGCCTGAAAATTAGGGCAAGGTTTTAGCGATTAAGTTACAACGCAGGCCGTGCCGTGCATGACCAGCCCTAAGCCTGGGTTCTTTGCACCACAAAATGGTTAAAGATCAATAGGGCAAAGATTGACTGTATCAACCAAATTTGTGATTTTTAAAAGAACCTAGACCCAAGAATATCCGTTAACTGGGCAAAAAGTAAGAAAGAGGGAAGAGGGGAGGAGCGTGTGAACCGGGTTAAGCTTGAGCCATAGCTCAGATGGTGACTGTCCTCCTGGATGTGGCTCCTGCAGCTGCCCCAGGAGCCACATGGGCTGAAATGTCGCTTGAAATAATAATGGCATTATATACGTGACAGTAAAAAGAATGGTAAGATAGAGTTGTATTTGTTGAGGTCGAACTAGAATTAAAATCTGGTAACATAGACGCTGTGCCTAAGTTTCCTGTTTCCCATAGTTCATTCTCCAGTAGGGCCCACTGCAAGCTTACCTAAGGGACAGGCAAGAAAGCAAGTTCGTCCCAATGTTTCTAAGGTCTCAGGCTCTATTATTCCTGATGACCATCCTCCTCTCTCACGGTCTTTGCTACTGGTCCTTTGGATGATGGAGGCTAGACTACTGGAAGCTAGGTTCTGGTTCTTCTTACGCAGGAACTCTACAAGAGTAGCATTTCCCTTCCACCCCACCCCCACTCTCTTTTGAACAGACATCCCATTGCCCCATTCCCCAAAAGTTCTTATTTAACTAAAACACTCCTTCCCTGGGGCTGACCCAAGGAGGGCATGCTAGGGACCTGGTGAGGCCTTGCTTCAGGTTCCTGGGCTCTCCACTGTGGTGGCCCAGGTCTGCACCCACATCCTGTGAAAGAGTCTAAATGCCTCCACCTTCCTTCCAAAATGTCTCAGTTGGAGTTTGTGAGTCTAGGACTGAAGGACCAGGGGCAGCTGATGCCTCCTCTTCCCCCAAGACAGATTAAAGACAGGCCTGAAGACCTCCCTGAATGGTGGTCGGTCTGTAACGAATGCATGTGAGTGGAGGTTGCTTACAAAGGAATGTAGATGTGCTTAATTTGGGAATGAAGGACAGCTACCTTTATTGAGAGAGTATGCGGCCATCACTGCCCTTATCCAGGGTAGTTTCTAGATGTGACAACAAATGGTCCTGGCAAAAAAAAAAAAAAAAAAAAAAAAAAGCCTTGAAGCAAGGCAGCCAGATAGGATACATGACTGGAGGGGGGGGGGGGTCAAGGTTCCTGTGCCTGACATACTGCCCAACACAGGGTAGCAGGGTGCTGTGAGGCTTCGAAGGAGATCCAGACCCAAGGGATGTCCATCTGTAATCCCAATTCCTTGCTGACAATTGTGGCTCCTGTGGTTCCAGGCAGAGGTGTATCCTTGTTTCTTCTTCTTCGTGCTGGAATCCTGAGAGGGGAGACTGGTGAGGGCTGCACGGTGTCCATGTGTGGGCAGGTGGCAACTGCTAGTCACCCAAAGGCCAGGTCCACATTCTGGGCTGCCCCAAGCTAGGTGAGCTTACCGTGAGTGTTCAGGGGACCCTTGACTGAGCACCAGGGAGAGAGCATGACCCTCCAGAGAGGGGCCTCCAGTGTTCACCTCTTGGTCCGTGCCCAAGCAAGGGCCCAGAGACAAGGGGCTAGGACAAGACACAAGGCACTGTCCAGGCTGCCCCTTGCCACACACAGGTCTTTACAGGCCCCACCCCGTTGGGCTTCTCTAGCCTCCAGCTACAGAAGCACACAAGAGAGAGTTTTATGCTCCTCTCCCATCCCCCTAAAGCCGAGGGCCGAGACTAGCTGGTAACCCGGGGCTGGTGGCATGCCCCCTGAGTGTGAGGCTGGAAAACACCAGGCGCTGCGCTGTCTGGAGACAAAAGACCTGAGCTGGCTGGCTCCAGCAGGCCCAGACACTGCGTCTTTCGCACCCGCCTCCACCTTTGCGGAGGCAGCAGGAGCAGGTGGAAGCAGGGGCGCTAAGGAGCACAGAACTTTTATTGATTCCCTAAATTGAACACCTCCGAGTCCGCGGGCAAAGGCAGGGCCAGGCATCTGTTTCAGAAAAATAAAATCTGCCCCCGGCACCCAGCCACCCGTCCTCCTATAAAGGGCTGCTGGTTTTCCCCCTACATATCTCATAGCAAATCACCTGGCAGCTAGGAAATGTTCGCCCCCGATATCGACCTGCAGGCGTTACTTCTTTCCCTAAAAACGGTTCTTGTCTTCTCTTCCTCTACTAGCCCCCAGGGAGAATTCACTGGCTTTAGCATTAAGGAGCAGGGGAAAAATCTTTACATTCTCTCTAGGTGTAAGATGCTGTAAGAAGCCGGGCGTGGTGGCGCACGCCTTTAATCCCAGCACTCGGGAGGCAGAGCCAGGCGGATCTCTGTGAGTTCGAGGCCAGCCTGGGCTACCAAGTGAGCTCCAGGAAAGGCGCAAAGCTACACAGAGAAACCCTGTCTCGAAAAAACCAAAAAAAAAAAAAAAAAAAAAAAAAAAGATGCTGTAAGAATTGGGCAAGGCTGCTGGCTTTCCACACCTCTCTCTCTCCCTGCTGCACCTGGAAAGCCAGCTCTGAGAAGAAGAAATAGTCTTTTCCTGCAGTCTGTCATTCTGCTACCACAAATAACCCGGTGTGAGAAATACCCTAGGCTTGAGAATATTGATAGATGATAGTAGCGATATTCGCAATCGATCCTTTAATAGGCAGACGTCATAAATCATGTTCAATGCCCCGACAGAACGCTACTTCACTTAATAATATAATTAAGATTAAAACTCCAGAGGTATTGAAGCAGCAGCTATTGATGTCTGGAAAAAAAATGCATTCTGGATACTACAGCGGGATGCAATAGGATTTGGGGGAAATATAGCCTCTTTCCAAAAGATGGAGTCTTACCAGTGTTCCATCCGTGAGCTCCTGTGGCCTTGATTACCAACCCCCCCACCCCCAATCTCTCTTTCTTCACCAGCCATACCGACTAAGGGTAGGTCTGAAAGAGTCAGTTCACTTTCTAGACTTCAATATGGAATTTAAAGAATTCTCATGAGATCTAAAAAAAAAATTTTTTGTTTCTTTCAATACACTTAAATCCCTCAATAAAGTTTTCCAACTTGCACATAGAGGACAGCGTATGTGTGTACACCAGGCAGCTCCAGCCTTGCACCCTAGCCTGTGCCCTTTGCAGACTGTTCCACAGTCAAAACCATGGGCCTCAGGATAGATAGCAAGGTCCTGAAAAGTATCATGAAGTGGCAGGCTCCTGTCCCAGGGTGAGAGTCTGCCATCTGCATCATGGGTGCAGCTGATTGATAAGTGCAGCTTGAAATGATTCTAAAGAGTGGAATATTAATCAGATCCATCAGAGCTGACAAATGAGAAATATCTGATAGTTAGTAGCAATTTACAACTTTGTTATTAGTTAAGAATCACCTGCCTTGTAAGAGTAATTAATAACACAGAGATGAGCCATTTGGAAATCCCCCTGCTATTCTTCTCATTTCCCTCTGTCTCTTAAGGAAGGAAAGAGAAAGGGAACAAAATGAGTGATCAGCAAAAACAGGAAAAAACGCTGCCTTTGTGGGCAGAACGAAACTGGAAAATATAAAAGAAAGAGGGGGGGAGGAGATTAACCCCATGGGAAGCTATCAGGAAATAAAGAAAATACCTAGGGAGGGCTAATAAACGGGAAAATAAATTCTGTAACCATACACCATGAGCTGGCTAAAGGTTGAGTTTCAAATGGCCCAGAAATGCCATCGAAATGGACAGTACTGCTTCAGTATAACTCCACAGCCCAATTCAGGCCCGGATTCCAGGCAGAGCTCAGTGCATTGTCTGTGTTGTTGTCGTCCTTAACAATGTATTTCTTTACAGCCCAGGAGCAGACATGTGCAGGCTCTTTCCCAAATTCCATCCCTGGAGACCCAAACAGGCTTTTCATGTGTCTAGTATCAGCTCTTTTTAGGTCCTAGACAATCCTCCCGACCTCAACACACACACACACTCATTTTACATTGATTATTGGATGGTTTCAGCCCCACCAAAACCACATTCCAAAATAAAGACTTGTTGAAAAACTATAAATCTTTTCAGCGCTGTAGTTTGGGAAACCATTTCAATCAACAGACTGGTTGTAAAAAAAAAAAAAAAAAGAAAAGAAATCCCCAGTTTTCTGCACACAGAAGGAGGAACTATTATTTTGTTGAATATTTTTTTTATTTGTTAGATGGGGTAATTTTTCAAATTCAGGTTCTTTGTTTTGTTTTGTTTGTTTGTTTGTTTGTTTAGAGGAGAGGAAAGAAAAATAATTTCAACTTTGGAAAACTTTGTCCTGTCATGATTATAAGCTCTGGTTTTGCCTCACTAAGTCCAGGCTGGGTCAACAAAAGGGAGTTAGAAATTGAGATTTATTGGCCT